CGGTTCCCACGTTAAGTCTGAGTTCCGCCTGCCTCTCTTGATGGCTGGGGTCACAGGATACCACCCTCTTTTCCCGCATAGTCTGGGGACGGGCCCTGAGGCCCGCACGACCTTGTCCACATCCCCAACCCTGTGAAGGTCCCCGTGTTTATTGCATCGCGAGCTGTTGAGCACACACTGAGTGCCGGGCGCTGGGCTCGGGGCTGGGGACCCAACGTGGCCCGGCCAGACGTGATCCCTCGTGGAGATGAAATGCTGTTGAGCACAGGGCTTGGCACGTAGTGAGCGCTCAATAAAAGCAGCCGCTCGGACGATTACTGTTCCTGTTGTCAATTACCTCAGTCTAGCAGGGAGGGAGCAGCGAGCAGGGCTGGGAAGGGGGCAGGAGAAGAGGTGAGGGGGACCCAGCAGAGACCCCCGCCCACCCCGACACGCCCAAGGTGCCAGGGCCTGTGCAGAATCGGGAAGGAGGGAGCAAGCAGTGAGTCCCCAGTGGTCACACTGAATGGGGCAGACCCTGGGGCTCCCCCTGAATTGAGTGAGGCCTGGGGGGCAGGGAGGCAGCGAGGCACGTGGGTGGAGCCAATCCTGTCCGTCAGTCGGTCAGTCAACAAACCCTCTCAGGGGCCCTGCTGTTCAAGGAGCTGTTCTGGGCTGAGGCACCGCAGGGAAGGTGGAGTGGATCCTAAATATACAATCTGAACAGGAAAAGGCTGGCAAGGGGCAGAGGAAGGCGGTGGGGCAGCGAGGCCGCTGCCCTGGGACCTGATAACGCAGGGCAGCGCTTCACCGGTTGCAGTCATGGCCTGGCCTTGAGCGGTGCCCTTCTGGCCACGTAGGGGTAGCAGGGTGACCAGGGGCAAAGGGGGCACAGCGTTGCAGAGGGCAGGGTGGGGTTGGTGGGGGGAGGGCAAAAGGGGGGTGGGAAAAATCTGCCAAGGGAGGAGTAGTGGTCAGGAGTGGGGAAGGGGTCAGGGTCAACAGGGCCAAGGACACAGTAGGGTCAGAGGTTGTGGGGTCAGGGTGCAGACTGGGGCTCTAGGCAGGAGTGTGAGTGAGGGCGTAATGTGCAGGGAAGGTCACAAGTTATAGGTCAGGATGGAGACTGGGGGCCAGTGTCTCAGAGCAGGCCGCAGTTTAAGGTGTCTCGGGTGGGGTCAGAGGTGGAGGTCGCGAGGCCGTGGCTGGCTCAGGACGATGCAGGGATCACACGGTCCCAAGATCGTGGCACGCCCAGCAGTCATGACCACATCAGGGGTCACAGGGACTCAGGGGTGTGCCGGGGGTCAGGGCAGAGCCCGCGTGACCCCCAAAGTAGTCCCCTGTCGCTCATCGCCAGGTTCTCGCCCATCGCCATCGACGGCATGAGTGGCCTCGCGGGTGTGGGCCTTTCGGGGGGCGCGGCGGGCGCTGGCTGGTGTATCTTCGTGTACAACCTGTCACCGGAGGCAGACGAGAGTGTGCTGTGGCAGCTGTTCGGGCCCTTCGGGGCCGTCACCAACGTCAAGGTCATCCGCGACTTCACCACCAACAAGTGCAAGGGCTTCGGCTTCGTCACTATGACCAACTACGACGAAGCGGCCATGGCCATCGCCAGCCTCAATGGCTACCGCCTGGGCGAGCGCGTGCTGCAGGTGTCCTTCAAGACCAGCAAACAGCACAAGGCCTGAGCCACCGCCGCCCGCCCTCCCCACCCTCCCCGGGCAGCAGAGAGAGAGAG